TCATCGTAACAGTCCTTCGCAGCTGACCGCATGAGAGCCATGAGGGCTGAGTAAGCTGCATTTCTCAGATTGTGCTGGGCACCATCGGGACGACTTGAGGTATTCAAAATTCGCTCAGTAATCACGTTGAAATATTTTGACAGAGCGTAGGTTGCGGGTCCCTGAGGATCCAATTCATGCTCTACATCTATATTAGCATCAATAGTAACAGTTACCATTTTCTTCACCTAATGCGACTTCACCGGCGCTTTCGGCAAGGCTTGAGAAGGCCCAGCACACGTTGGCTGCAACCCGTGGCTCAGACGACAAACCATCCAAAAGACCCTGAAGCAGAGGTACAAGATAGGTATCGGTCAGAGCCACTTCCGGCAAGATCTCGCAGACACGGCCGATTGTCCATGCGGTCGTATCGCGGACTGCAGATGACTGATCACGCAGCAGGTTTATGATCACAGGCATGGCGGATTCGACGAGAGGCTAAAAATAGGATGCACAATAACTGTAAGATTACCTTCAAGGCGGTCGCATTAGGTCCTTCTAGAATACTTCCAAAACTCATGACAGCTGCGTCTCTGTATTTCCAATCAGGGTTTTCAATGTGTTGGCGCACGAACGGAATGACTAGTTCCACAATGGCATCTTCGCAACATTGAGCCAGGAGCATTATGCACACACCGGCAGCCTTGCTGGGATTCCATTCGTCATCGTCGGGTGATTCATCCTAAAGCATAATTTATTAATTCGATATACTTGTTTGGCTAAAATTTCCATCAAGATGGGGACAATGAACTGTAGTGCGCCCTTTGCGTAAAATTTGCTGGAAACGGGAGGCGGTTGGCCTTTATCGAAGCATTCAGATGCCTCGATAGCTAGTTCAAGTTCCTCGTCACTAACCGTCGACCAGAACTCGATGCCTTGTAATGAGACTTCTGGAATGTCGGATTTCATGGCATTCAAGGTAATCTAAAAATGTTAATTTATCTGGAATATACATACGGCAAACAGAGCCTGGCCCATGTATGGCTCCATATAACTGTAATACAAGGACATTATTTTCACAAGACACTGAAGCGCAGCAACTTTGATCAATGGGTTCGGGGACTGTGTCGACTCGCAAACGACTTGCATGATGTAATTACGCTCCACCTCTACGTCAAAGTTGTGTTTAGTAAATTCCAATGAATTCAGGAGAGCATTTGTAGCAGCCAAACGAACATTTTCACTGCAAATTCAATAATATAAACGTTCACAAACCTTGGTTCCTCTTTCCTCATTCCGTACACGATCGCCGTGAGAATTTCATTTGATCGAGTAGACAGAATACTGGGATCTATATCTTGGCAAATGTAGCCGATTGTTTCTAATGTAGAATGTTTAACGCTTTCAATGGTCGACGTCGTGACATTTTCTACTAGTTTGGACATCAGAGTGGGCCATCTTCCGGAAGGCGTCTCTGCACATGCGATGTATGCGACACACTGAGCTGCCGAACTATGAGCCGTTGTCTCAGTCCCTAATGCATCTAGACACTAGAATGTTACGCAGTGAGAGGGAGTTCGGAGGTACCTTTTGCTTGATATAATTTGTACACTCAGGAGGGAATTCCAACCACCGCTGCTGATAAGCGACTCGCAAAGCTGGATCTTTAGAGTATATTGCATTCTTCAGCTGAAGACCGGCTTGCATACGGACAGCCGGCTCACATTGAGAGTTTGCGAGAATATCACTAAGCTGCCTTAGGAGACCTGGCAAGTCGGCCTTAAAAGCTTCTTCGAGGAAATTCTGCGCAGCCACCAGTTCGGCATTTTCTATAGTGATGGCTTGGTCAAGAAACTAAATGTGAGTACCTGTAGATACTGTCTTCTGCAACACGGTTATTAAATCGACTGGAGAAGCCATGACCTCGCACGGTCCACACCCACGAACGCGGAGAGGTTGAATTCGGTAAGCCCGCCCCAACTATAGTACTCGAACAAACGAAATTCTGCGGCACTTGCTTAAACTGAGGACGGTAACAAATTAAATCGCCTTCCAAATATTGCGCTACTGCCTCTTAAACGGTCTCTACATCTTTACATGTAAATCAAGCAAAAATAATCTGAACTAGTTTTGCTGTGTTCTTTGGCAAAGGTTCCCATGACGTAAGGACTGTTGGAACATCCTCA